TTTTTTTTTTTTTTTTTTTTTTTTTTTTTTTTTTGTGCAATTCTGATTGTGGTTGTGTTGTGATGGTAACATAACAGCTGTTAAAGTGAATGGATTCACCTGCAAAGATGCTTCCAAGGTGAATGCAAGTGATTTCTTCTCAGCCATATTAGCAAAACCTGGTGCCACAAACAACACCTATGGTTCCATAGTGACTGGAGCCAACGTTGAGAAAATCCCAGGATTGAACACCCTTGGTGTGTCTTTGTCACGCATTGACTATGCCCCAGGTGGCCTAAACCCACCTCACACGCACCCACGTGCCACAGAGATTGTGTTCGTGCTTGAAGGCACACTCGATGTGGGGTTCATCACCACAGGCAATGTGCTGATATCAAAGAGCATCACAAAGGGTGAGATATTTGTGTTCCCAAAAGGCCTAGTTCACTTCCAAAAGAACAATGGCTATGAACCTGCTACGGTCATTGCAGCCTTCAATAGCCAATTGCCAGGCACACAGTCCATTGCTCTCACCTTGTTTACAGCAACACCACCTGTTCCAGATAATGTTCTGACCAAGGCATTCCAGATTGATACCAAGGAGGTTGAGAAAATTAAGTCTAAGCTTGCACCAAAGAAATGATAATTCATGTATGTGGTTGTTAATTGTTATGTCTTTGTCTTTCTTCTTTTACCTTGCTACCTTTGTTGCTTTACAATTCTTGTTGGGAACTGATCATAAAGGATTTGGAATAAGAGCATTTGTTTGATAGTTGGAATTTGAAATGTGATGGTTGTGTCGGATGTTGACTTCTTACATATGCTCTACAACCTTGCATATTGTTCTCCCTTCAAAGTGTGAATCTATTATTTCTCATAATAATTATTTTTTTCATACAATAGATTAGGGATTGAGCTCCTTCACACAATATTTTTATATTTCACAATGTATTTTATATCACACTTCTTTTGTTTGTTGTGTAAAAATACAATTACTAAAAAAGTAATGTCATTTTAAAACAGTTAATGTTATCTCTCTCGTTTTTAATATTATAGTATCAGCAATCTATGTAAGTTATTTAAACCATGTGAACTATTTATTTATTACAGCAAATAAAATGGCAAACAGCCATAGTGGAAGGGGATATTGTATTGTTTAAGATCCGTTATCGCTTTCACTCCGCCAATTATCTTTGAAAAAGGAACAAAGCTGGTAACCAAAGTATGGGTCAGGGTTAATTATATACTATAAGGTCATAAACTAGCCATCCACATCCCTCTAGAAGGTGCAAATTACAAAATAATTAAACTATCTAATGTCAGAGTACCCACCCAAATTAATCTGCCATATTCCCTCGAGGCCAACTAATTTAATCTCATAGCTGTTCTCCGAATACAAAACCGATTTACTAAAAAAAAGGATAAAACCTTTTGTTGTTGTTTGTCAAGAGCCCTACTACAGTGATTTTATTATAAGGAAAATATATTTTTTAATACGAAGGATTAATAAAAACTTATTTATTTGATTTTAGAATATATTTTGAAAATAGAAATTGGACAATTCAAACATGGATCATCCCGCTAAAGCAAGCAAATGCTTCTTGTATAGGCTTAACGCTTAAGAGGATCTGGATTCTGGACTATCCAATTATGGATCATCCGAGAAACCAAGCAACTGGGCCTTTCAGGTTTTACACTTAAAATTGTTTCTCATATATGTAATTCAGAAGAAAATAAATCATAAAAAATTGAAACCTAAATCCAACAGGTAGAAAACAAATGTCATTTAACATGCTCCTAGTTTAGTTAGTTCCTATGTTTCATTTCGTTGCAAATGAAGCATAATTGCTGTAGCCTGTAGATGAGAACAGGTCAATAGAGTGTGTGAATAGTTAGTTATACATATCTACAACACCTTGCATGAAGGTACAGAAACGTGCCCAGAAAAAAAAGAAAGAAAAAATAGAGTTAAATATTGAACAAGGAATGCAAATTTGTCGCTTCCTTCACATTCTGATGTACAAAAAAGGTGGTTTGATTTTATTTCCAGTTTCAAGCCCTGGAATTATGGGCTACGGCAAGTTCAACAGTTAAGATGAAAGATGATTTTCCCGCTTCTCTTATATAACGTACGTCTCCATTCATCAGCTTTAGCAGTTTTCTGCTAATCAGCATGCTAATACCCTCTTCAGATTCATTTCCATCACGTCCAAACATCTGGTTCAGCAATGTTTCTGGAACCCCAAAACCATCATGTGTTATGCTGGAAAGAAGAACAAAGGCAAATTGCTTATATATAATCTCAAGACAGCATAGCAACTTTGTGTTCCTTGGAATGTTCTGCCCCACAACAGGAGTCTAGTCTAAAAAACGTCACAACATGCATAGTAATTTTCCACTTTGATTCTTTAAGGATGTGCTTGGGAGAGGGAAAATAATTGAAGAGAATGAAAAAAAAATAAGTGAGAATTGATTTAATAGAAAATAAAATAGAATTTGTAATTAATTAGAGTGAAATTAGATTAAAAATAAAAAAAATTAATATTTTAAAATTATTTTTTATAGTTAGATTTTTATGTATAAATAAATAATATATATAATTATCATTTTGTTTTTCTATTTATATTTACAAATAAAAGTTGAATAAATTTAAGAGTTATATTTATATTTTGAGTAAATTCCACAACAATCCTCCATCATAGAAGGTAACTTTTAATTGGTGGGATCCACTCACAATTCTACACAAATTCACTCAAATCCACTCTCCCAAGCACGGTGTAACTGAAGTTTCAAATGTAATCTGAGTTTGGAAGAGTTAATTACCTGAGTTCCAAATAAGCGAGATGGACTAGTTTCCCTAACTGCTGTTTGGTTAATGAGGCTGCTACAACAACCTGACCTCCGCTTGGTGTGAAATCGATGGAAATCGATAAAAAGTCAGCTAAGACCTGCTGAAGCCTGAGACTATCACCATATAAGGTTTCTGTTGTAATATGATCTTCAACATGGTTGACTACAGGGATACCCTTTGCATTACTCTTTGTCATCACTTGACTTAGGGAGGCAACCAAAACTTCATGCATAGTAAATTCAACCATCTCCAAATCCAGGTAACTGTTGAACAAACAGAAAATCAAGGTATGTATAAACTGAATCAAATTATGCAAGACAAAAGGGTGGCTAGTAGTACACAAAGATCTATGGTTTCGCTGAAAAAGAATGCTAGTTATAAAAAATCAGATTCCTGAAATTAAGGAGATACACAAAGTATTCACATAGAGTAGGACACAATGAACCTTTTCTAATATGGTTATTTTATGGTATTTGTTTGAGGGGATATTTTATGAAGGTTATTTTTATAAATTATTATCCCAATATTTTCTTTTATGACAGAAGACTAACAAAAGTCAAATTTTAACTGCTAAAGCATATTCAAATTTCTAGGCAAAATTATCATGACCTAGAATATTTGACTATAGTTTCTATATGACTCTAAAATCTAAATATTAGGTGTGGTTAAGAATAGGAGCACTTGTTAGAGGACTAAAAATTAGAAGTACGACATTAAAGAGATATCATACCCATCAATGATGCTGTCAAGATCTGAGTCATCCAGAATTTTACTGAGCTGGTGTTGACACCTAGTGCCCGTTTGCAGAAATTGATTTTGTTCAGCTCCCAACTCAGTACCCTCTAACAATTTTCGGGTGAATATAATCCCATATAGAGGATTCCGGATTTGCCTCTTCAAATAAGTTAAATCTTTCAGTCTCTTCAATGCAGTTTGTTCAGATAGGTGCTGAATGTGTAACGCCTGTTGCAGTTCTGGACTAGCTAATTGCAAGAAGCAGAATACCCCAGTAACTACGCCCTCTGCATCCAATTTCTTACTCACAGAAAGAAGACATTCTACATACTTCCCCTCACGAGTATAGAAACCAAAGGGAACCTTCTCTGTTTCCAAACCAGCCATGGCTTTGTTAAGTACAATGCTAAAATTAACAACAGCTTCTTGGTTCCTTAGACGACAAGAAGCTATTTGGGTCCCAAAAACCTCTCCTAAAAGCATTTTATCCATCACCTCTTCTCGTTTCCATCCAGTTAATTTTATCATAGCTGAGTTCCATTCACAACACCAGCCAAATTCATCTGTACCAAATATTGGAGGGATCAATGGATTTGGATTCTGTACAATTGCCTTGTAATCACCTTCAATTCGGGTGAATTTGTCCATCACTGTCTTCTGAGCAGTTATATCTTGTGCCACGAAACAAACACCCACAACATTGTCTTGAAGATCCCTGCTTGCACAAGCATTAACGACCAAGCTTATAGGACCAGAATCAATCTTCAAGTCATGTGTTTTGATCTCAAATTGGACATTTTTCTCTTCCTCACCTAATCACATTGTAGCACAACAGTTTAGTTGATTAAAAATATTGAAATCTGGGAAAAAGTATTTTTTTTTGTAATGTCTTATTCCTTTTAAAATTGAATAAAACTTGGAAGCAATTATTCTTCATTAACACACTATTTATGGAGGTTGTAGGGAACATGACATCCTCACATTTAAATAGTTATACTAGTTTCAAAGTTTCCTTATGAATGCCAAGACTTAAAAAAACATAAGGAGCTTGTTTGGATACGCTCAGAAGGGCTTTTCAGAGCTTTTTTTATTGGAAATAAAAGGGTTTTTTCTGACAGAGAAGTTATTAAAAGTTCCTTTAAACTTGCACCCAAACATGATAAAGATCTAGTATAAGAATAAGATGGGGAAATGAAAAAAGCATACCCTGGAGTGCCATGTCCAACATCTTCTTGACTCTATCTACAGAAAAATCCTCAACAAGCATGAGTAAATGCTTCCCAATAGCTTTCTCAACTGGAAGACCTGTCAACTCAGCAATTTTTGTATTCCATCCATTGACCATCCCATTAACATCAACTGCCAGAATTGGCACCGTTGCTGTTTCAATTAACCTCACCATCTCACTTGTCACTGCTTCCAGCTCTTGCATCCCTTCAATCTTCAAATCACCTAGTCTTGTATTGATAGCATATGTGCTTATCTCCATACTCTCTGTCTCTTTGAATGCATTTCTCAAAATTAACTGCAATGAATGAATGGCATCCATTTCATAGTCCTTCCAGGGCAAGCTCCTAGTCTTCACAACTTCAAGGAAAGCCTTGAATGATGATCTTGGATGCATCCTCCTACCATCATCCTTTTCACCAGGCTCATGCTTTGCACCACCCCATCGGATTTCAGCCGCAGTGCGAGACCGAAACCAGAACACTATATCTTTGGAAGCTATTCTGACAGCTGCCATTCCACAAGCAATATCACCAAGTGCAGCAGCCCCTGGGAAGCCTGCATCAGACAAGCTATCTGTACTCAAACCTGTGGAATCCCTATGGAACTCAGAGAGCCACAATGCTATCTCTCTTATCTGAGATTCACTTGGTGTTACCCCTAATCTCCATACCTTGTTTTTGTACAACAAGGCTGCTCCATCACACTTAACAAGATCCATTATGTTAGGACTCTGTGACACTATGCCTAGGGGCGCATCTCGCATCAGCATGTCACACAAGAGTGTTTGAGTCCTCAGGATGTTCTTCTCAACAATCTGATACTCTATCTCAAGTTCTTTGTTCACATGGATGGCAAATACTTGAGCCAGGAATTCACAAGCATACCTAAGAGGGAAAGGAACAAACCTGGGAGTAGTGTGATGGCAAACCACTAAACCCCAGAGTCTCTTTCTCTTCTGTGGCTGAACAGCATCAGAGCCACTATCCCCATCTTCATCATTGTCATTGACCACAACTGCCATAACCAAGGAAGCACTAGATTTCATATTCTCCATGTATTGCAAGTGGCAACTGTGAGCAGCCCTCAAGGTTGATCCACACAAGGTTAAATCAAATGGAATCTTTTTGTCCTGAAGCACCTTAACATGCTTTGCACGACAATCAACTATCATACGCACCTTATTCTTCATAAACAAAAAGCGTGTAACTTGGGGAATATCAGTGGCTGGGTAGTGCAACCCCAGATATGGCTCTAGGCCTGGCCTTTTCACCTCAGCAATCACTTCACCGTGATCATCATCATGAAATTTATAAGCCATTACCCTGTCATAGCCTGTGAGTTCAAAAACTTCTTGAACCATTGTGTCACACAGTGTTTCCAAGCTCCCACTAGGCAAAGATTGCAACCTAGTTATTGCTTTTGCTGCAAGCTTGTAGGATTGCAGGGCACCTGCTGCAGTCATGGGAACTTCATGAGGCTTGACAGGCTCAAAATCAATGATAACGCTTCCGGTAACACGATGGACAATTGCATAAAAGGGCTTCCCAGAGGTCTTGCAATGGACTAGAATGGGGTTAAGAAGTGAAACCTCTCCAAAACCTAGTGCCTTCTGAATAGCTGCAGCACTTGGGGCAGTGAAAATAGTTCTTATGTCAGTGCCAATGCCAAGGGCAGGGTGGTCTCCAACACTTGGCACAGCATGACTAACCATAGTGAGCATTTCAGGTGCATTCTCACTGTAAGCAATGACCTTACATGTTTTCTCATCTAATGCTAGCAAGCACCCAAATGGCTGGATAAGCTTGCTTTTCTGAATCTGATGAAGATAAGCAGTTGTTACTTTATCAGACCTTGGTTGATTGTCTCCACTGGCAGTGCCTGTACCAGGAGACAATCTCACAGAATTGGAGTAGTCAAAAGAGCTACCTGATTCCTCGAAAGTTGCATGCAGTTTTGCATCTAAAGTTGTCTGAGCAATAACCCTAGCACTGTGCCTTGATGATCTGCCAGAATTGTTGCTGGATGATTGGCTAGGCCTTGAGGAGGACATTGTCACCTCTACTGCACTTGGAATCACAGTCACCAAGTTAATCTCTTGCAAGAATGGAATCTGTTCTGATACATATGCAAAGCTACTATAGACCTAGTCAAATGTCATCAATCATCCTTAGTGTGATAATATTCAAGACAAAGTGAACTTTTCAACACATTGACAGAACTTTGAAATTCTTCTGTAAGTAATATGATGCTTAATGATCCAATCATATCCTATTTTACTACAAACTATATCCAAAGTTCAAATAACAATAATATTAAGAACCTTTTATCACTGGATGCATATGGTAAGAAATGATGACAATCCACCCAGCCCAGAGGAACTCATGCTATACACTTCACTCAGCAAAGCATAAAACTAGTTTTTTTTTTTTTTTTTTTTTTAA